CAAACATAATATCTTACCTAAACACTATCAGTTCAAAACTTTCTTCTCCTTGAACTAAGAGAAAGTAGCTGTTTAGATATTATGCTAATTATTTTGTATATACAGACATATATTATTTTTAGTACAATCTGGTCCTTCATTTGTATCCCCCTTTTTTGTTTAGTTTTGTCAGAGATGGGTATTCCACTGCCATTCATATATTGTAGGTGCATGAATTCAGCAAACTAATCCAATATAGTCCAGTACTCCATAATAGGAGTGGGTTGTCTGCATGACTGGTAATGTCAGAAGTTGTTGACTTGAGCCTTGTACAACTAAGCATATTAGTATGACTTTACTTTTTATAAGTCATTTTTATACTTTTTCTGGCAGATCATTAAGCCCAAGATAAAGTAAGACCTATGTAACAAAAAATGTAACTTTTTTATCTGACAAGTTCAGTCAAATGCCCTCAGGATTTACTCTGAAGCTCTGTACAGCAGTTTACAGATCTTTTGTCAGTTTCAGCCATGTGGATGAGTCACGGCCATTGCTTGACCAATTTGCACTCTGTGAAAGCCTGAGAGAATGTTTTCTCTACATGTGACTCTCCTTAGGCACACTCTGCACTGTCAATCACTTTCTTCTGTTGTCCCATAATCTCTTGATCAGAAAATTTGGGACACCACTGAGTTACAGGATGTTATAGTACAGTTTCTCTTTTATGTCCTGAGTCCTCAATGACATTGAATGGCTAGGGCCAAAATATGGGCTATCCTTGTAGCCTTTCTTTTTCTCTAACTTCTTGGTCTGCAACCTTAAGTTGTTAACCCTGCAGACGAGACACTTAATGATATTATTACCCCAAAACATAGGCTGTTGAGCTTAACATTAGTATCTGTCTGAATACCAAACACCTAACACATACCATGGAACAGGCATTTTATTTCAATTGTTGATATTCTTAACTTTAAATCCATAAAGAATGTGAAAATTAGTGGTTAATTGCTGTACAAGATGCAGACTTGTGATCCTACTTACAAACACCATTAGAAAAAATCATTCTATTCATTAAGAGAATGCAACTATAAATCTATCCCAACCACTTTGAATACACAGATACAAAATGGACATTCATAGTTATACCCCAATTTTTTTAAGTTCCGTTGTTGAATATTATAGGTGTGTAAACTCAGCAAAATATTCTAAAAGAGTACAGTAGCCCACAATAGCATTGGGTCTTCTGTTTAACTGGCAATGTCAGAAATTATTGACCTGAGTCCCCCACAGCTCAACATAACAACATGGCTTTACTTCCTATATTTCATCTTCATACTTTTCTACTGGATGGTTAAGACCAAGGTAAAGCAGGACCTGTGAAACAAGAGTTGTAGCTTTTTGGTCTGACAAGGTCAGTGAAATGCCCTCAGGATTTATCCTGAGATCCTGTACCTCAGATTGTAGAACCTTTGTCAGTTTCAGCCATGTGGATGAGTCACGGCCAATGCTTGGCCAATGTGCTCTCTGTGAAAGCCTGAGGGAGTGTCTTCTCCCCATATGCAGTGTATTATTTGTTGAAAAAGAAAAAAAAGATAGATTTACAGTTACTTTCTCTTAATTCAATGAATAGAAAGTGTTGTTCTAACAGTATTTGTGGATAGGATATCATTTGTGCATGTTATACTATGAATAACCACTAAGAAGACAACAATATGCAATATATTAATTATTGAAACTATCTCACTAATTGGTTTTGAATCTGTCTCATTGCTATTTGTTTCTCAATAAAGTTATTAAAAATAAAAAAGAAAAAAAAAGAAAAAAAAGAATGTGAAAATTAAAAAATAAATTAAAAATAAAACAGTATTTTAAAAAGATAGAAATAAACATTTATGGATTTTTACACAGAAATTTAAAAGTCTAACCATATACAACATTGTAGAAGGAGAATCCTATGATTTTTTTCTTGTCCCTTGTTCTCATTTATTACCATATTTTTGAAACAAACATTTACTTGAGAGATAGTATAGCAGTAATTGAAATGACATTAGAACTCAGAACCAGTATGCTTTTAGAAGACCAGAATGACAGGGATTCCAAGTATGTCCCTAGTATTACACGCAGTGGTAAATTGTTGACTTCTTTCTCATTGTTGCCTATTAGTCTCACGTTGTTCGTTTTCACATCATCTTGAAGATATTGCTATTTTTTCTTGCATCCTAGTAATTTTCAAGAGATCTTTTTCTTACCTTTTCACTAGCTGCGATGGTGTCTTCAAGATCTAAACTCTATCTTCGCTTTCACTCAAAAAGTTTTGCAAGCTTGTGATTGAGATTTTATTTTTCTATGTCTCTTTGACTCTGCTTCATGTGATCTATTTCTTTCCTATATTGCTCATTCAAGGATTCCATCATTTTTCTATTCTCCTCTACTTTTTATGTTTCTTCTTTAGAAGGTGTTATTAATTCCTTCATTGTAGTTATCCTTTCCTTTTTTACTTCAGAGATCTTTTCTGACTTGATTTCCCCTATACCCTTCTGCCACTGTTTTTTTTTTTTTACTTCAGATGTTATTAATTCAGAGATTTCTTACTTTTATTTTAGAGGTTATTTTTGATCCAATATCCTCTATAGCATCCACCAGGAGTGTCTTTACTACAGAAGCTATTAATTCAGAGATTTCAGCTGTGCGATTCCCAATTTCTTCTGTGCTACTGTCTCCCGCATTCCTCTGACCTTTGGTGTAGAGCTTTGGTGCTGTTATTACCTTAGCGCCTACTGAAATTCTTACCCAAGAGAGATTATATGGTTAAGGCAGTTATAGTTTTGTATTTACAGAAATATAATTAGAAATACTAATATTGGGTAGTGATATTTAGCAGGTGAAAATTTTTGTAACTAATGGGTTTGTACTTTGGACAGTAAGAGCAAGCATTATGTCTATGTAGATAAAAAGATATTAAATAGGGAATTTGTATTTAAGCTAGTTCCCCTAAATTCTATCTGATCACCTCACCTTGGATGTACCTTGGGTCTTCCAGGCAGACTAGCTCAATTCGGTTACCTTTTCCCCCATCTCTCAGTCAAGAGAGAAAGAGGGAGAATGCTCTTATAGATCTGGGTCTAACAAAGTGTCTCAGCTTACCAGGTCCAAAGTATGAAGTTTGAACTCATCCTAAAGTTCCTGGCTCTGTTCTGGCAGCTGTGCTCAACTTCTTTCTGCTGCACCCTTTAAGTGAACTGGCTGTGCCCCTCTGGCAAGATGTTCTGCTCCTGGATTAGCTGGGTGATTCTGGCAGCTAGCCTGTCTGCAGGGACTTCAGCTCAAGAGTTTCACACAAGGTCTGTATGCCCAGCCTGGGCTGGGTCTGGAGGGTTCCAGTGGGCACAGTGGTGCAGAAGTTCTCCCACTCACATGCTGGACCTGTACTATTTCTGGACTCAGTAGAAAATTTTTGAAAAATAATTGCAGAAATTAGTAATGAATATTAGAAAGCTTTTATCATTTCCTGAATACTTTTGACACTAATTCACATTGTACTTTTGAAAACAATATGTAAAAGATATTAAATATAAAAAATTTAGTTTAAAAACTACACAGCTAGGATGTAAATGTGGAAATGTTCATTATTCTTACATATAAATAATATATTTTTTTCAATTAGTCACTCATAAATAAATGAACAGAATAAATAACAAATGAACGGAATAAATAAATGGGCAGAATAATTACAACATTTCACTTGCCCCTCTCCCTGGCTACAGAAAATATGTGATAACAGTTTGACAAGACAAAACTCTACAGCAAATATAGCTACTCAGAGAGCTTTTGCAACTGGGGAACTTAGAGGTCTTAGGGATAAAACAAATATGAATACGGCGTTAAAAAATAAAATAAATACCACTGCACTTGGACCAGCCATAAAACATAAAGCCATATTAATATGCTGAGTTGTAAAAGGCTCAAGTCAACAAATTCTGACATTGTCAGTCCTATGGATAACACACTATTATTGTGCTCTACTGGATTATATTGGATTATTTTGCTGAATTCACGCACCTACAATATTTGAATGGCAATAAAATACCCATCTCTGACAAAAGTAAACAAAAAAGGGAGATACAAATGGATTATTTTGTAGTGAAAAATATATATTTATATCTGCATATACAAATTAGGATAGATATACAGCTGATTTCTCTTAGTTCAATGATAAAGATTTGCATTAATAGTGTTTAAACAAGATATCATATCTGCATCATATGCTATGGATAACTACTATGAAGACAATATTTAACGTATTAACTATTGTAACTGTTCTACTGACCTGTTTTGAAGCTGTCATTGCTATTTATCTTTCAATAAATTAAAAAAAATAAATAAATGAAATAATACCAATGCAAAAAGAATGCAATAGAATGAGATGAATAATAAGAATTGAAAATTAATAGGGAATGAAGATGTGTAGAGGGTTTTATAGGGAGCAGGGAGAGAGAAACTTAGCAAAACAGAAGAGGACAAAGAGATGGAGGGACGAGGAGGGGAATTAATAAACATGTATTACCGACATGCACTACTTTTCGTGAAGGACGTAATCATTTATTGCAAAGATAAAAAATAAAACTAATACATAATTAAAAAGACAATTAAAAAGACTGCTGAATTAAAGTATGAACTTATGTACAAATGCATTTCAGTTGTTGTAAAATTTGGGTCAAATTACAAGAGCTTCATGCATTTCCCATACAACTCACCAACCCCATTCACTTTGCATTACACTACCAGGATTTTTTCAAAAGAAGAAATAAAAATATTTTTTGGAATACTCAGTTCTGGAACACCTGTGGGTATCTTTTTCTGTTTTTTGTTGTCCTGCTATTTTACTTTTTTGGAACCAGGGATCGAACTCAGGACCTTCTGTTTGCTAGGCAAGCTCTCAAGCCACTGAGCTATCTCCCTGACCCATTCTCTGTTTCTGATCATTCTCCTAAATACAAGCACTGACTTCAGGGTAACTTTTCATGTTTTATGCTATTTCAGTAAAGAATATCTTTGAACCTATCAGAAGACAAGAGTATGATCTTTTGAACAAAATAACAGGAGTGTACCAACTGAGATTTCACTCAGTCAAAAGACTGTGGAAATGACACCATTTTCCAAAGTTAGTGGGGGATCAATATACCTCGTTATGAAGAATAACACTAGGCAGCAAGGATTTGAATGTTCACTGTGATTAACATTGTTCATAACAGAAGCATGTTAACACTTTGCAATCATTAACAAGAAAGTTTTCTCATTTGTTTGAGAAATAAATCACACAGGAGGAATCTGCCCACGTGGTTGCTGCAAACAAGGCACTATACAGCACCCAGCTCAATATCATCATAGCCACTTTCTTCTTGGCTCAAGGCCACTGGGGATCCCATCTCTTCCATGAAAGAGAGGGTGGCTTCTTGGGAGTCTGAAGAGAGTTGCCTGAAATAGTAAAGGAGAGTGCAGATTTGAGAGATGACAGAAAAACAGTGAATGTTGTGCCTGCAGATGGAAAGACTAGTGTAGAAATGACTGCTAGATATCTGCGTGGAGAGAGGACTTCTCTGAAAGGTAAGATGAGCTTCCCTCATACTGGATCTTTTTCATGAGGGTCAGCACTTGAGACTGTGCCTTGCTATTAAACTCAGCCTGACTTTGAACTCTCTATGTACCCCAGGCTAGCATTGAACTCTCAGTGAGCCTACTGTCTCTGTGTGCTTAGAGATGGAACTACGGGTGTACAACACCAAACCAGACTTCATACTTCATACTTCATTCTTGTTTTACATAGAATCTTCTCTGGATCTGAGTAATGGGAAAGAGGAGTGATATTAATGGCAAACCCGGGGAAAGAGACAGAGGTATTATTTTACATACCAGGCAGGAAAGATTACTTAAGCAATGGAGATAGGAGATGGCCCCTCATCACTCCTCAGTGTATCAATAATAGAACATTCTTGACTTTATTTATTTATTTATTTATATTTTAGGGAAGGTTCTACAGATTGTTCAGTGTCTCACTACTAGATCAGACTAGCAGTGATCCGCATGTTCACAGCCTCCCAAGAGCTGGAATTACAGGCGCACACCACAATGTCCAGTCTCAATTCCGTTTCAGCATGCCCTGGGATCAGGGCCAGAACAGCATGCCTGGGGATCGTACCACTGGTCCCTGTGCATGCATGCAGGTGCTTTAATTCACTGAATTATTTGGCCAGCCTTCAATAATAGAACAATCTTGATCTCAAAGTTTTCATGAAAACAGTTTGAGTCCCTTTGCAAATGCTAAAAGGGAACAGTTCAAACTAATCCCAAAATATCTTGCTCCTTAATGGACTCTTCCTCTACTTGTGCAGAATGCCTGACCTTATATTTCAACTGAAATAATGAAGAGAATGCATCTCTTCATCCAAGTAAAGAAATTTTGTGATCTTCAAATTAAAGATCACAAAAGTCATTTCACACTGTGCATTAATTATGCCCAATGTCACCTTTGAAAATGTTATTATATGTCTTCTTAAACAAAATACTTAGAGCTCATAGAAATGATTTACTTATCAGTAAAAAAAAAGCTACAAACAGCTCACAATTTGAAAGAGTGCCTACATATATTGCTGTAGGCAATTAAAATGAGAGCAAAAGCACTAAGTTGGTTCCAGGTATTTTCAGACAGATGTGTGAACAGTTCTCATACCAGTAACTCATACTATAGCAAAAATGCCCTCCACTCCCATACCAAATTCTTCAGTTGCTGGGCTGACAGTGTGTCACAGTTTTGGTTGCTTCTGTCTCTTAAAAAATGCTGGCCACTGCAATGCATAGCTGCTCATGATGGTGCATTTTGTAAGAACAATCAAAGACAGCTAAGTACTCTACTTCTTGCTTGCAACCCTATAAAACCTGCCTTCCTAAGCCCTTAGGGACTCGTAGTTGGGAAATTATGTTTATTTGTCATAAAGTTAAATGTATCTAGAAATCCTGGGTGTCATTTCAGAATTTCTGATTTCAATTACAGTGTAAGTCTACATCTAATGTATGGTGTGTATAACACAGAGAATACAAAATTTCTTCTTTAAGAAAGGATATAATAGCTACAACGAGGAGTAGAGAGGAGTGGACACCACCTAGGTACACAAGGCTATCTAAGTACTTATAGCAAAGGAATACATATGATCAATGGGTTCAGAATCATCTTGTACATGACTGTAACTCTATTGGATAAAGAACTTTGCAGCCGTCTGTCTGAAAATGCCTGGCACCATCTCTTCCTTCTGGAACAAAGTTCCTCTCACTCCTCCCAAGGGAAGAACGAATTTCAGGAACAAGTATCTCTTCAACATCATCATAACCACTGCCTGTGGAATCGACATGTTGCA